AACACTGCGACACGAGTACAACGGGAAGTTTATGCGCGTTTCTCTGGAATCACGAAAGCGTTATTCTTGTTGATTTGGCTTGAAATTTATTTGCAACCTCCGGAGACAGCTTTTAGAATTTTTAGATGTGCTTTGAAATCGAGGAAAAAATTTAATAGGTAGTATTTATGATTTATAGTGTTATGAGGTGTCGATTTGGGGGTGAAATTTACTTGCAAACTTCATAAACTAGCTTTCAGAATTTTTTTATTAATTTTTTGATAGCTACTATTTATTGGTTATATTATCATTTGTCGATTTGCTGTGAAATTTATTTGCAAACTCCATAAACTAGCTTTTAGAATTTTTTTATTAACTTTATGATAGCTACTATTTATTAGTTATATTATTGCTTGCTATTTTGCTGCGAAACTTATTTGCAACCTCCTGAAACTAACTTTTATTATTACTTATATTATCATTTGTTGATTTAGCTTGAAATTTATTTGCAAACTCCCCTAAACTAGCTTTTAGAATTTTTATATAACCTTTGAAATCGAGGAAAAAATTTAATAGCTATTATTTATGATTTATAGTATTATAAATTGTCTATTTGAGGTGAAATTTATTTGCAAACTCCCTAAACTAGCTTTTAGAATTTTTTTATTAACTTTATGATAGCTACTATTTATTAGTTATATTATTATTTGTCGATTTGCTGTGAAATTTATTTGCAACATCCAGAGACTAGATTTTAGAATTTTTAGATGTGCTTTGAAATCGAGGAAAAAATATTTTAGGTACTATTTATGATTTATAGTATTATGAGGTGTCGATTTGAGGTGAAATTTATTTGCAAACTCCCTAAACTAGCTTTTAGAATTTTTGTATTAACTTTATGATAGCTACTATTTATTAGTTATATTATTATTACTTGTTGGTTTGCTGTGAAACTTATTTGCAATCTACTGAAACTAGCTTTTATTATTCTTGAATAACCATTGTGTTAAAGAGAATATTATAGTAGCTATTATTTATGCATTATATTATTATTATTATTGCTTGCCATTTTCCTGTGAAATTAATTTGCAATCCCCAAAAACTAGCTTTTATTATTCTTGAATAACCTTTGCATTCAGGAGAAAAATATAATAGTTACTATTTATAACTTATATTATTACTTATATTATCATTTGTTGATTTGTCTTGAAATGTATTTGCAACCCCCTGAAACTAGCTTTCATTATTCTTGAATAACCTTTGTATTCAGCAGAAAATTACAATAGTTACTATTTATCACTTATATTATTATTATTGCTTGCCATTTTGCTGTGAAATTAATTTGCAATCCCCCAAAACTAGCTTCTATTATTCTTGAATAACCTTTGCATTTGAAGAAAAAAATATAATAGCTTCCATTTATGATTTATATTATTATTAATGCTTGTCAATTTGCAACCCCCTCCATACTAGCTTTTATTATCTTTGCATAACCTTTTGCATTGAAGAAAAAAATATAATAACTAATATTATTATTGTTAATTTGCAATCCCCTTGATCCTAGTTTTCATCATTTTTGTATTAACCTTCGCGTTGAACATAACAATACAGCTACCTACAATTTACCAGCGAACAGCCCCAAATACAAAAGTTATCAGAATTATTTTTAGTTTCCTTCTCGCCCATATAAATTCCCCGACAGACATCTTATCGTGAAATATTTTCTTACACGCAACTTTAATCGACTTCGCCAGATTGTATCGATGTAACGAGTAAATTTCTTGCTCCTTTCGTAAGGAGCGTTCGCACGCATAAAACGTTAATTAAAGTAGAAAGAAAATACCGATCGATGGGGACGAATAACACAAGATTGTGAAAGTTACACTGGTTTCCATAGAAAATTACATATCCCTGGACTTAACCATTAATATTCTCTATCTACATTGTTCTGAGAACCTTTAAAATTAACCTAATCACGACCTTGGCCACATATGTGGACGTTTAATTTTTTTTTTTATATAATTATAATTACTGAGGAGCTTAAACTTAATTAATACTTAATTAATGGCTGAACACCATCGATAACGTGTAAAAATAATTTACTATATGATTATTACCATAAAAACTAATTATTTGTTGGTACAAAGTCTTCCCAATTTTAATGACATTCCAATGAAAATTATATATCCCTGGACCATTAATATTCTCTCTCTACATTGTTCTGAGAACCTTTAAAATTAACCTAATCACATCCTTGGCCACATATGTGGACGTTTAATTTTTTTTTTATATATAATTATAATTACTGAGGAGCTTAAACTTAATTAATACTTAATTAATGGCTGAACACCATCGATAACGTGTAAAAATAATTTACTATACGATTATTACCATAAAAACTAATTATTTGTTGGTACAGAGTCTTCCCAATTTTAATGACAATTCGCAGAAGTATTATAATTGTATTTTTTAGTGATCTAACCCTTTGAAACACCTGTCGCGATAACCCACCGATTTCACCTGCGCTCATCGGTCATTTCTTATCAGTCTACGCGCGCTAGTTTCGCTCCTCCATTTCGTTCGCATCTTTTTCTTCAACTTCCAAGAGATTCTCGAGACTCGACCGCTTCTGAACTTAATCGACCATCGGCGGACACACAGGGGCGGTTCAAAATGCATATAAATATATCAAAGATCGAACCTGTACGCTAAAACAAGTGAAAAATATTGCATAAATATATCATCGACCCAATGCAATTTAGAAACGTTGAATCAAACAAGCCAATAATCTCAGAAATGATCTAATCTTTCCATTAGAAAAGTATCACACCCAGATTTAATCTTACACTGAGCCTCTATCTCTAAAATTGCTGATTATTTCCAAATAAACTTCTCCAGTTTTGCATATAATCTTACATCAATGAAACAACAATTTAAACTTTCTCTATTTAGACTTTTATGAATCATAAAAAATGAAAAAAAATAGTTTGAAATACTTTTCAGAAGAACAAACTCAATGAAAAGTTTTTGTACCTTTAGAATTATTTTATAATAATAATTTACAATTTTTTTTAAATGTTTATCTGAATATGCCTTTGTTTTATTCATATTTTACTTATTTTAGAGTGCAGATTTACCTCTTAAAGTATTAATATGCATTTGTGAATCATATAAGCATAACAGTGCTTGAATAATAATTGTAAAGCGTATAATAATGTCATAAATTAGCATATTCTATAATAAATATGTATAATGCTGGTCTAGAAATTGAACAACGCTGTAAAACGATAGTAATTGCGACACAAAGTTCCTAAGTGATCATATCAGTGGCCGCCATTTTGTTAATCAGAAATTTCTGTAACCCACTTCGATCTTACGCATGAATTATCACACTCTTTCACACAATAATAATAATTAAAATTCTATTTAACCATAAAAAATGATTTCAAATGATTCGTAACACTTCTTTTTATACAAAAACTGTGTTAATTTGCAAGGTTATGGATTAGTCGTATACCATCTTTCGTCGACCATCTTTTTAATATAAAATTTCCAATTTACCAATAATATAAAGAACAACATTGAACAATAAATTGTTAAACAAGGAATTAAAGTATTAATAAAACATTTTAAATCGTTTGACTCACCGTACGCTGCGTCGAAAGCTCCGTGACACTCGAGTATGACAAACATCAGGAAAATGGCCGCCAAATACTTTCTTAGTCGGTTTCTCCGTCGCACGATTCGTCACTTTTCTCGTACGCTTAAACCGCCACAACTCGAAGGTCCATTTTCGGGGGACTGATGCTGCATGAAAAAACAAATAAAAAATAAAGAATAAACTTTTTTTGTTCGAGACTTCGTTCTCGAGATAATTGAACGTGAAAATTTATAAGTTCCCAGGCAATTGAAGACGATTTGCTTGTCCTTGAATCGCTATTTCTAATCATGTTGCAATGAAAATCGTATTCAATTGCATTCTACAATGAAATTTAATTGCAATAACCTACTATACGCATAAATTATTCTAAATATGATCGAGAACGTTTAAAATCGTTTGAAGATTCTCGTGGCTAACTAACCTCAAACGTTTTAAGAAATTAGAGATTGAAAAGTGAAATATTTCGAGAACATTCTGTTTTAAAGCCTCTTACGTAATTGTATTAATTATTTATGCAATATTTGAGAGTAAATAGACATATCAAACTAAAAATTTACTAAATTTTGTCAGGAAATGTTGAATTCTATACAAATTACGACTCACCATGCGCCAGAGCTTTGCATAACCTACCGGGGAGACTGGGAAATTGGGGTTAATCGTAACACACATTTATTAAATTAGGTTACAATACTAAACGTAGGTAATAGACACAGTTTCCTAAGATTACGAGAGAATATTCGTTAAGAAAGACTCTCGTACACTAATTTCGTTACCTGTAAGTACTTTCCGTGGACAAATATTCCCAATTTATCGTGAAACTTATCATAAAATCAGTGTGTACAGCTCGAAACTTACGTAAACCGGTCGAAACGTACGAAGATCGTTGGGAATATCTTGTGTGGGGCATTTTAACGCGCTACGTAGCGTGGTCGTAGCTTCAACAGATTTTTTACGCGGGAAGTGTATGCACTTGGCGGTAAAGTGGCTATGGTGGCGCTATCTGGCGCTAATTATGGGTACTATTCCTCTGTAAACTTGGGCGCTTTGCCGCCTAAATCGCTCGTGGACTAGAATACTTTTACTTGGTCAAACTTGATCATAATTCGTGTACTCGTTCAGCCAAAGTTAAACGTTATTTCTCTGGTTGTATCTTTCTCAAAAGTAATAGAAGAGAATAGTTATTCCCGCCAAAACAAATGCAGTGAAGGTTACGTCTTGAAATGTTTTAAGTGATTTAAAACTGGTTCGCAACGGATGTTCGTCGCTGATCGGTTTAAGGGGAAATAGATTAGAGAAATGATGAGAATACCGAAAGCTTTGGGTCTGTATGTGGTTTGTTGGGGTTTCAGGAGGACAGCACCGTTCAAGATAGTGTCGACGGGGAGGCATCGTTCACGATACGTGCGTGATCACGTGCGTGCGTGCATGGAAAGGAAAGACGACCGCGGTAGCCCGAGGTACGAAGGAGAACGAGGCGGAGCAAGGTGGCTCCGCTAACGGCACGAGCGGCGGTGAAAAAATGTCGAGCGCCGCGGACAGTCCTGATGGGATGGCTTTGCAGTCGCACTATTCCCTACGATGGAACAATCATCAGACACACATACTACAGGCCTTCGAGGCGCTGCTGCACAACGAGGTACTCGTTGACGTGACACTGGTCTGCGCCGAGACCAGCCTCAGGGCGCACAAGGTCGTCCTTAGTGCCTGCAGGTAATCGATCCTTATTTTACCTTTATCTTTCACCCTCTATCAGGACTGCGTAATAATTGTTACGTTCCACTGATAGATTTAAAGTCGAATATACTGAACAGTGGTGCCCCCTGTCGGGATTATTTATATTTCACACTCTATCTGGACTGGGTTAGGTCTCTGGGTTAGATATTCGTTATATTCCACCAATAGATTTAAAAAACTGAACAGTGCTGCCCCCTGTGTTGATTATTTATCTTTAACCCTGCAGAATAATTTAAAAAACTGCATAATGGCGTCCGTGATGACGCAGTTGCACTTTCGTATTAAAAATATCCATTCTTTTATTGTGAAAAAATAAATAGAAAATACAGGGTAATTTCTCCAACTATGTGAAGACAATCAATCTTGCCCAATGTATGTTCCTGTAACAAATGATCGTGTTATGGTTATGATCGAAATTAAGGAAAGAAAGAAACAAAGCGTGGAACAGAAATATTACGAACCTGTGATCGAGGTAAATAAAAATAGTAATAAACTCTTCTGATAAGCCAAAATTACAAAAGTTTATGTTCCTACCATACATAGGAATATAAAACAGAAAATTTTTATTTTTCAGAAGTGTTTTACAAGATACAGTGAAGTTCGTGAAGAACTTAGTAACCCTTAACAATTCATAGAAATGTCCCGAAACAGTGAAGACGAAATGGTAAATGTAACCGACATTGATAGAGAAAGCATGGTACAAAGGAAGGAATAGAATAAAGGGTTTGTTTGGAAGAAATTAAAATAAATCTCGAGCCATATTTTCGATGAGAAATTTTAAAATCGAGATTCTTTGATTTTAGCACACCATTAGTATTAGAGTACAGAGAATATTTCCCATCGTATTTGCTTCTTGTTACTTTTAATCCGTCCATCTAAATAAAATTCAGTCGACGTCGGTTATAACGACCGCTCCGGAAATCGAGAAAATTTCCGAATTTAATTCAAACGATCGTTTTGATCTTTGATTCCTTTTATTTTATTCTTCCAATATAATTCCAATTAAATCTAATATTCTTCTATCGTATTTAGGATAAAATAAACCTATCGAGGAACCGCGAATTGGCTGAATTATGTGCACGTTGTACGTGTCTCGCGTTCGTTACATCTGGACGATAAATCGCGTCACAAATGCACCAGCGATGGGTTAATGTTCGTGTTCTCCAATATGGGGATAATCTGTCGACACGCTGCCGACGCTGTTCACCTAACTTTCTTGATGCTTTATGAATTTCACAGTCCTTATGTGAGAATGGAATGTAGTACAGATGTACATAATCCGAACAATCCTGCAGGCTTTAATTTCCATATGCAATGCTATTTCTGGAAATTTGAACTTTCAAACGTTCCATATATGGACACTTTAATTCTAACTGATAGGAGGGGGAAAGTTCCCATAATTAGAGTACATTGTATATGAACTGCTGTAGAATTTTAATTGATTACAATGATGTAAAGTTATCGTTGGTGTAGTGTTGGGGTCCAAGAGCCTCCCGTACTCGCCACCAGAGGGCAGCACCTCTCACTAATCCTGGGCGTCTGAGGACCTGCTGCCTTGTGCCCCCTTTCCTTTTCCATCTCTCGTCAACAGGACCCCCCACATTAGTAATATTAATCTAAATTGAAAAGACCTCTTTGCTGAAAGCGTTCCTAACTCGAATACTTTGCGTTGCAGTCCGTTCTTCGAGAGGATATTTGCGGAGCATCCCTGCAAGCATCCGGTGATCGTGTTGAAGGATTTCCCTGGCCACGAGGTCGCGGCGCTGATCGACTTCATGTATCGTGGCGAGGTACGGGTCGGTCGCGAGGAGCTTCCAGGACTGATGAGAGCCGCTGAGAGTCTGCAAGTGCGGGGATTGGCGTCGTCGGAGCCGCGGCCGGCGTCGCCGCCGGAAACCCCGACGGCCGATCTTCTTCTGGGGGAACCTTCCACGCCTGAGGGCGCGAGGCACGGCACCCCTGAAGAGGACGACAACGCGTCGGAGAGCACGGCACCGCCGTCGACGCGGGAACCAGCGGCGGTGACCACCACCACTATTTTCCACCCTGCCAGGGACCATCGCGACAGGTTACCGCACATGGGTCACTTGAACTTCGGCATCCGCGAGCTCAGGGAGAGCTGCGGGTCGCCGTTGTTGCCTCGACGGAAACAGGCACGACCGCGACGAAGATCCGGCGAGCTGGTGCCGCAGGATCTCAGCCGACCGCATCCGCCGTCGAGTCTCAGCCCACCTACGAGCGGTCTGAACCTGTCCGGTAGCCAGCAACAGTCGCAGCAACAGCATCACCAGCAACAGCAGTCGATGGGTTCGCAGAGTCAGCAGCAACAGCAGCAGGAGGACATGGCGGAGAACCTCTCGATGAAGAGATCCATGTCGCCGAGCGGAACCGACCATCATCACGTGAAGGCGGAGAGCAGCGAGGCGGCGAGCAGTCCGAGAGGATCCCCGTTGACGGGCACCAGTCTGCTGCATCCGGACGGTTCCCTTCAAGACATTCCGTCCGCGGCAGCAGCAGCGGCGGCGGCGGCGGCTGCGGCGGGCCTACCGGCGATGTCGGCCTTGTCGTTGACGCCGCCGCATCATCACAGCGAGTACCTGACGAGTTTGGGCCAGCTGGCGGCTCAGTGGTTGCCGAACCATCCGCAGAGCCAACTACCGCCACCGCCGCAGGGTCACCATCCGCGGGAGGGCAGTCCGCACGGGCCCAACAGGACGCATCCTTATCAGCAGCAACAGCAACAGCAAGACTCCCCGTTGACGCCGCGACGCAGCTCCGTGACGGCGATGTTCCCGCTGGACGGCGTGGCGTCGTTAGGCGGGGGACTGTTCCCTCACGCTGGTGCACTCGACAGGGGATCCCTTCTGGCGGATCTACACGATAGCTTTAAGCCGGAAACGTTGCACGGTCTGTTCGGCGCGGCGGGTCTCGGCGGCCATCATCAGGGTAAGAAGCCCAAGAAGCACAGAGGCGACGGTGACACGCCACGCAGATGGGGGGACCACGGTAGCCGAGGGTTGCCGGTGGGAAGGCCGAAAGGTCAGCACAGCGCGCCCAGGGGCGGACCACCGAGGTCGTGGACGAACGCTGAGCTCACCGAGGCGCTCCAACACGTCTGGAACAAGAAGATGACCACGTCGCAGGCGAGCAGGATCTTCGGTATACCGTACAACAGCCTTCTGATGTACGTGAGGGGTAAATACGGGAAGAGCCTGAAGCTCGAGCAGCTCAGGAGGGACTGCACGGGCGCGACGACGGGCGAAGTCGTGATGAACTCGTTGAACAACAACGTGAAGACCGTCCAGCCGCCCACGCAGATGTCCCATCCGCTCGCCGGTCTGCCGCCCCATCCGGGCGACGACAGTGGATTCCCTCATCACTCGTTGCTCGGTGGCAACCTGCCGCAGGGTTTCTTTCCCGATTTCGCCGCCGCTGCTTTCCCCGTGCCTGTCAGCATGGTGCATCTGCTACCACCTAGCGAACAGAAGGCCTTCGAACCAACCGGGAATCCCGGCGGCGGTGGCAGCGGTGGCGACCTCTCCACCACGCGGAGCAGTCGAACCCCGTCGCCGGTCGATCATCATCACCATCACCATCATCACGAGTCGCTGCAACCGCAACCGCCTCAGTCGGCGCCAGCGCTACTCCAGCAAAATGGTTCGGATTAGAAGCAAAATCGTTTTACTCGTGGTCATAGGTATGCGCGGTGACGCTTATTATCCTCGTCGATGGACCACGGACACATAACTGTCCGATAAAACCATCCCGTTAAACGAAACCCTCGACACGTACACCCACACTCGAAAACACCTACACAACGAACGTAACACACACACACACACACACACACACACGCCCCCCGATTCTTTCCGCGAGATTGTTCTCTTTTTCACAAGACTGACTATCACCAATTACAGCTCCCGGGGTAAATTCGACGGACGTTAACGCCCTGCTCAATCCACGCTTAAGCCACACACTGTTGCCACGTTTCGCTTCTCGATTTTTTTTCTTTACGTTCCCATCGACCTTCTTTGTCTGTCTTTATCCGGTGGACGAAAATATTGACGTCGCCCCTTTTGTCCGTCGATCGCGAAACACGCCGGACTCGGTCGAGCGTGCCGGCGAAATTCTCTCGAGAGGATCGTGTCTCGTTTCTTTTCTTTGTTTCGTTTGCTCGGGACTCCGGTGTCTACTTGGTTAATATCAGTGGTACGCCCGGAGACCGCTCGAGAGAAGAGAAGGGCCATCGTTAGGCGGTGGTCTTTTCTGGTGCTCGTTTCCCCTGAACGCGTTTCGGGTTTACGAAAAAAAATGATCCACTAGTGCCGAGACGCCTTCGTGGCGGAGACACTTTTGCTGGCGGGCGAGACCACTCGTATCATCACTATAAATAGTTCCTGCTACAAGAGCGATTATACCAAATAGTACTGTAAACGGCTGAGTAAATACGATGGCTGCTGTATGGAATAGCAATTGTTGGAAACGCTCACACTCCGTTGCTTGGATCGCACAACTACTCGGCGAGAAAGTGACGTACGCGATTAGGGAGACACCGCGCTTTCTACTTTTAACGTCCTCGTGGCCTGTGATGCACATGAGGTAAGCTTACAAGACTCGAACAATAGTTTGATACCGTCGATTGTTACGATACCTCTTCTAACACGCGCTCGGAGGCGGCAAGGGAACCCCCCACTTACTATTCTATTTTTCCCCCTATACAGATTTCTATATTACAACGTCTCTGCCCAACCGGATTAACGCCAATTGTTATTCTATTGTACATTACCGAAGTTTCCATTAGGAGAAACGTTGATCAAGAGAACTCTACGCCAGTGGTAGTAAGTACAAGTTATAGTACACAGTATCAAAGTACCCTAATATGGTCATCTAAACGGGCCTTTGTTCTCGAGATATGTATCTTGATTTAAAGTTCAATAAATACATAATGAAAGAGTTTATTTTTCGTTTACAGCATTGGGTGAGTCGGTAGAGCGCTTAACTACGAAATTCTTCTTGGTCGTGGGTTCGAATCCCCGACGTTGCTACTGGGTTTTTTTAATTCAATTTTGAAATGGAAAATTATGTATTACATCAATATTAATTGTTAAACATAAAACATGCATTTTTAATACAGAAAATAGAAGTGAATTCTGTATTAATTATATACCATTGCAATTTACCATTGCAACAGTTTGGTTCATTCTGCTTACGTAAGCTTTATCGTTAATGGGGAATGTTGCAAGACACTGCTACCTTTTATTACTGTGTTTCTATCTTCTATATTAAAAACTGATGTTTTCTGTATTAAAAAACATTTAAGTCAACCGTCCTACCGACTTACTCAAATCTAGAAAGTGAATTGAAGTGTAAACTTTTGGATAAAAGTATCTGGAAAACGAAGGCCCATCGAGAGAAGAAATGTATTAGAGGTTTTCCTGACACTATACACTATAACTTGTACCTGGTGTCTCTTAAAAAGCGATTTCGACTAGCGTAGGGTTCCCTCGAGCCCTTGTTGTCCGCGCTGCCTCCGAAAGCACGTGGTAAACGAGCTTCCAGTTTGAATATTATTTTACACACACAGCCCCCCGTGTTGGTTATTCGACCAATGTAATACGTCACTTTCGCGCGAGCCGTTTGCGTTGTTCCCTGATTGGATTCCGGATAGCGATTAAAATGCCCGTAAAGCTCTGAACTTCGATCACGCCGATTCGTAGAATGACGTTCACGATCGGGGGTTGCATAATAATCACACGCAGGGTGTCGTGAGCTTGCCAAGATCCCCCCCCTGGATACCTCCACTCGGAGCGCGCGCTACTTCCGGTAAAATCGGTGCAATATACAACGCCCGGAATACGTTGATCTGTAAATAATGTTTTTCTCGTTAACGCTTACGTCCTTCTCGTTCGTTCTTCTTTCGTGCACGATATTTTTCTAAAGCCTCGCGCGGTTTCGCGACGCTCGAACCGGAAGGGACGGTGGATCTTGGCGGGTTCCGGGGCGCGCGAACTTTTTGCACGGCGAACAAAACGAATAGTCGTCGAACGATTTGACGAAACAAAAAAATGGGGAAAAAATGGAAACGTACGGTGAACGGGGAAAATTTTTATCGTAGACCACAATTTCGCAGAAAAAAAAAACGAAAAAATACAATATTTCGACAACCAGACGGAAGCGCAGGGTAACTAACACATCAGGGATAGCCACAGACAAATCTACGATAGATAAAGAGAAAAAAAAAAAAAAGTTACGTATTAAACTGTAAAAGTAATGGTAATGAGAAAAAAAAAAAAAATGAAAAAAGTAACGTAAAGCTATAATACATTTATGATGATTATTTCGTTAAAGAACTTAAGAAAATGATACAAAAAAAAAAAACCCAAAAAAAAAAGACAAAAAAAAAAAACACACACACACACAAAGAGCGGTGAGAGAACGGCAGGAATATGTGGTTGATTTCGTTATGTCACACCTTGCTACACCTAGCGAAAGCGAGATTAAATATATTATTAAAAAGAATAACTTAAGTAGAATGTAATGAGAGAGAGCGTTTGGGTACGAGACGAGGAGGGGGGGGGTTAAGTAAATATTAGAGAGACCACAGGCTTTCGGCCCAAAAAATAGCCTGTACAATACAAACTGATATTATTATTGATTATTATATATATATATTTATATATATATATATTATTATTATTATATATATATATATAGATATACACACAGGGTGTTTCGAAAGAGTTTATAACTGTTTTCGACGGGTTGTACCGCGCCTTCCCCTATATCACGCTCGGGAAATTATTATTAATTATCGTTGTTTATTATTGTTCTATTTATTTTAATCGTGTCCATTTCTGAATTGTTTCCATTTGACAACAGCTTACTCGAGACTAGCTTCTGTTTTGTGTATGCGTGTATGTGTGTTTTTGCGTTGAAATTCGAATTTTTGTGAAAAAGTTATGTAATTAATGAGGCGGGTACGACCGCGTCGAGAACGATATTAACAATTTTTTATCCACTCTGTTGAGAAATGAGCGAACAAAGCTGCGGCGCGCTTGCGAGATCGGTACGGGATTATGGGAAAACGAGACGAGGGGAGCGGGGGAGCGGGGGGGGACGTTTTCTGAAAGTTGTAATTTGTATGTAAACGATAGAAAAAGCGTGTGTGTGTCGGGAGTGACTGCCAGAAAGAGACTACGTAATAGACATATGTGATAGGCACCATGTGCAGACTTCAGTATTATTTTACAGTTAACGGGGGATGAAAGAAAAAATAAATAAAAGATACAAGAACGATCGGTATGTTAGTTAGGTAACTCCTCGATGGGGAAATGGAAACATGTTACGCCTGTTTCGTTGTTTGTAAGCCCTTAGGAAAATGTGAACGGCCTTCGATCGAGACGATCGATGACGAAAACGATTACGTGAAAGATAATCAGATGACAGGAAGGGTACGATTGCGCGCGCGAAATAGTGAGAAAGAGAGACTCGGAAATTATACACACACACACACACACATACATGTACACACAGGCGAACGCGATCGAGACTGTCATTAGAGGTGTAGATAGAGAAAAAGAAAAAGAAAAAGATACGAGATTTTGGGGGCGTATCGATTGGTTATCTTTTTATTACTGCGAACCATAATTCGCATAATTATCGCGCGTAGTACAAGTTAGTTGAAGTTTGTGAAGGGTCGCGAAACCGGTTGATAAGGGTTGGGCCGTTTGATAATTATTGATTCGTTGTTAGAAATCATTGGATACGCATACGCATGAATGACGGAGGGATTTAACACTTTACCGACCGGTAGCGGTTGATTAATCGGCTATCGGTCGGTAAGCGTTGGTCGGTAAAACAGTCGATTAACACGCTATCGGTCGGTAAATGTGTTAATAGGGGCTTTACAGATAGAAAGGTTGTATTCGAACGGGTGAAAGACGTTGTTACGCACACATCGACGCGGTTATTAATTTTACTATTGCTATTATTCGTATTATTATCGTTCCATGCGTTACGTTTATTATTAATATTAGTTTACGGATAGAATATGATTTTCACCGCTTATGGTCGCACCTGGACGCGACCGCGACATATCATTAGCTCTATCGCGGTGTCGTTTATCTTCTAATATCGAATCGGACGTCGTGAGGATCGATCTATCGAATGAAATGGTATTTCGAAATATTCAGAAGCCACAAATGTAGTTTCAAATTTATAGAATTACAGTTCGATGCAATAATTTGCATTAAACTACTCGTTTTTAATTCTGTTTGTTTATAACGTACGATTTTGTAAATGTTTAATTAACCGTTAATTTATCAAATTTATCACCAGCAAACATGTGATAATATTTACGTAACAAGACAATAAAAGGACTATTCCTTACCGCAAAATAGATCCTTTAGATTCATAGTTAATAAAATAGGACGTTTCATTCCGGTTCTTTTCTACGTTATTTACTAACAACAATTAATAATTAATGACAAAATTCCACGTTTATTTTACGTTTTTTTACGATCTTTGAATAACTCGAAAACTGTGCGAAGCTTAAATGAATTTTAAAATACTAATAATAATGAATTTTAAAGTAATAATACTAATGAATAAAATATGTATCAATATATGAATCAAAACTTAATTTTCGAGATACCATTTCGCTCGAAAGAGGGGTTCATTTTCACGTAACGTGTGTCCATTGTTTCTCTTATTCGTTAGTATTTAAGTAGGTATTATTCCGATTAGTTGTAATAATTTATATCGTCGTGGTCGTTATCAGTAATCGGATATCGTTGACCGCCACGCCGCCTCTGCGTCTCATAGTTTCACCAATGCCGCCGCCGCGAATCGCCACTAGATTGTATACACTGTTACATCGATAATACTACCGCTTATGGGCACAGTTATACATAATACCGAAAGTCACAAATACGACAAACGAATGTACTTTGATTTTTCTGGGACTCCGACGCCGAAGTCACCATATCTTAAGTTCCTACAGTTAGGGGGATGAGATTGTACGATTTTATCCGGAAACATTGAGATGTAATAGCCGAAACAGTGGTAG